TTCCCCCCAAAGCCCCAGTAGATAGTCGTATGTCATAGTTGCACATCCTTCTAGTTGCTGTATGTGGGACGCGGCCTCAGCGCGGCCGGAGAAGCGGTGCGTCGGGGCGCGCCCGGGATCCGAATCCGGGCCGCCAGTAGCGGAGCGTGTGCGCTTAACCGCTAAGCCACGGGGCCGGCCCCCTGCATTCAATTTTAAAGAATTATAATTGTCATTGCTTCCTCTAACCTCTGTCTATGTTTTCTACATAGTTTTTTTAAAAATAAATAGCTATTGAGATATAATTCACATACCATCCAATTTACTGATTTAAAGTGTACATTCAATGGTTTTTCGTATTCAATGAGTTGTAAAACTGTCAACACAATCAAGTTTAGAACATTCTCATCACTTCAAAACAAAACTCACCACACTCTTTAGTACTCACTTCCCAAATGCCCTGTCATACTCAGTCCTAGGCAAATGTGAATCTACTTTCTGTCTCTATGGATTTGCCTATTCTGGACATTTCATGTAAATGGAATCATACAATACGTGGTCTTTTATGACTGCCTGCTTTCACTTAGCACAATGTTTTCAAGGTTCATCCATGTTGTTGCATGTGTCAGTACTTCATTCCTATTGATGGCTGAATGATATTCCATTGTATAATGTGTTTGTGTATCTATATATCTATATTTATATCTATCTATATATCTATCATATTTTGTCCATTAATCAGAAATATTTGAGTTGTTTCCATTTTTTTGCTATTATGAATAATGCTGCTATGAACATTCATAAGTTTTTTTGTGGATATAAGTTTTAATTTCTCTTGAGTATATATCTGGGACTGAAATTTCTGGGTCAAATGGTAACTCTATGTTTAACTTTTTGAGGAACTTACAGACTGTTTTCCAAAGCGGCTACATCATTTTACATTCCTATAAGCAGTATATGAGGGTTCCAATTTCTCCACATCCTTGCAATGTTTGTTATCATCTATCTTTCTGATTCTGTCCATCCTAGTGGGTGTGAAATTGTATCCTTGTGGTTTTGATTAGCATATCCCTGGTGATGAATGATGTTGAGCATCTTTTCATGTGTCTATATATGTTTTTAATCTGGTATAGGATTCAGGGTTTTGGGAAGAGCTAGTGCAAACTATAAAGGGAGAACTTAACTTCTGGAGCAATGGCTTTTGTGTCCAAACTCATGCTCATCCTTTAAACAATTCTTTTTAATTTCCTACTCTGTACTGCCAGAACCTCATGGCTGGTTTTATTTGTGTTCTAATAAATTTTGTTTTCACAAGTTGGTTTTCTGCTTAAGGCCACGACCCAGCAATCATTTCATCTTTTTGTTTTGTTTTTATTTTAAAAATGTCATTCAATTTTTTTCTGCCTACAAAAGCAATATATTCTCATGGTGGAAATATGAAAATATAGAAAAGTATAAGGCAGAAATAGAAATCACCCATAATTCTATTGCCCAGAGGAAATTTGTTATTTTTGTATATTTTCTTCCAGCACTCCCTCTTTCTTGCTCTCTCTCTATATATACATACATACACACCCAGTTGATTCTCCTTATTTGCTGTAGTTATATTCTTTAAAGTTGTCACGAACATTGTGTTGTAAATACTGAACAATTGCTCCTGGTCACATTTTTGTCAACCAATCAATACATAATCTTGTTTTATGTGTGTTTGTGTTTAAAGACATCTTATCTGTATATTGTTGACTCATTCATATTGAACTCATGGCCAATAGCACTATAGCTCATGAGTGAACAAAGCTTATCTAACACATGTATTTTCCCCTTAAGGCACATCACAGCATTCTCTTGTGTAGGAACACTAGACAACACTTCATCACTATGCTTGGGAGCCATCTTAAACAGTAAAATCACCAAGAAAAGGCACAGAAATGTGAAAAATGTGGCACTAAATAGACCATGAAAAGAACACTTGTTTACACTATGAGAGCTGAAACAAGAAGGCAGGGGGTCACCTTGTTTGATCTCAGCTGGGAATGTGCACGTAGGGGCACTCAGATTTTTCACCACTAGGCATGCGATGCAAATGACCACAAAAGCACCGTGAGAGTAGATTTGGGGGTTACAAATAAATTTTTGTGGTAGGCAAATTCACAAAAATGTAACCCACAAATAATGAGGATTGACTCTGTGTGTGCGTGTGTGTGTGTGTATAGTTTCATCATTATTTTTGAGTTTCATCGTGTTGATGCTTGTAGCCGTGGCTCATTCATTTTCACTACTGTATAGTCTATTGTAGGAATATGCCATGTATTTATCTGTTCTATTGCCGATGACACAATTGAGTTGTTTTCAGCATTTTACCATTATAAACAATGATGTTCTGAATATTTTTATATGTATCTCTTGATACCTATGTGCAAGGGTTTACACACTTATTATATAGTTGAGATCATACTGTATATGCCATTTGAATCTTTTAAAAATTCTTTATTCACAAAACAATATAATGAGCATTTCTCCCTCCTCTACTACTGTGGAAGTTATAGGATTTGTTTCAATTGTTTTAGTGTTACTCTAAAAATTACAGCATGCATACTTAATTTGTCAAAGTCTAAAGGTCATTATTAATTTTAACCTCCTCCTTGATAACACAAGACCTAAAGTTTCCGTATACTCCCCAACCGTGGCTTATATGTTATTGTTGACTGTTTTTATTCTTGGTCTTTCCGTTTCAAATTGTTAAACATTCTATCCTTTATATTGAAGATTAGTATTGTGGTTTTACTTTTTCAGAATTTATTCACTACCTTATTTACCACTTTTTTCCCTGTTCATTCCTTCTCGCATTTCAGAGCTTCCATCTCTTATCTTTTGTCTTTCTGCCTAAAGTACATTATTTACAGTTTCCATTAGCATTTGCTAGTGAAGAATTCTCTCTGATTTTTTCTCTTTTTGATCTGTTTTATTTCATCCTCATTTTTGAAACAAAAGTTTTATATGTACTGTTTTAGTTTAACTGTTCATTTCTTTCCACATATTGAAGATACCATTCCCACTCCTTTGAAAGTTATCTTTTTTCCCCTAGCTGCTTTTAAGATTTTTCTTTGACTTTCTGCAGTTTTGTTATGGTATATCTATGTGTAAGTTAAAAATTTTTTTTTATCCTGCTTGGGACACACTGAATTTCTTGCATCTATTAATTCTGGAAAATTCTCAGCTCTTATCCCTTTAATTATTGCTTCTGCTCTATCCTCTCCTCTCCCTCTGAACTTCAATTATACTTATGTTGGACCTTCTCACTTTGCCCTCTGTGAATATTAACAGCTCTTTCATAGTTTCCATTCTTTAGTCCCTTTGGGCTATATTCTGAATATGTTCTTCTGATCTATTCTCTGGTTTACTAATTCTGTTTTCAGCTATGTCCAATCTCTTGCCAAACCTGTCCACTGAGTTTTAAAATTCATTTAATGTGTTTTTCATTTCTGGATTCTTATTCAAATCTGCTCTGTCATTTTTAATAGTTTCTTGTTCCCTGAAAAACATGTGGCTTGTTTAAATCTCTTTATTCCTTTAAACATAGTAAGTATTTTGTTGTTATCTATGTCTGATAATTCAAATATTTGAACTGTTTGGGTCAGTTTGTACTATTGTTATTTTTGCTGTGGTTCTCACTCATGGTGCCTTGTTTTCATGTATGCTTGGCTATTTTTGACCGATTATGTATTCTCCTTGCAAAATATTTGTGGCATTTCCTGAGGCTTAGACTGAAGATCCCTTCTTCCGGAGAGACTTCCTGATCGCTTTTCCATGTGTACTTGACGCTAAATCTGGGCTGCAAATCCTTTAAAGGGGGACGTTGTAGTTTACCATGGCTTAGGAACAGGTTTGCTTTTTTTCCTCTCTTCTCTCTACCTCATGTTCTTTTTTGTGCAAAGGCAACTATCTCTTGCAGAGCCCTGGGGGGTTGAAGGAGGGAGTGGGGCTTACTTCTGGCTCACCTTTAATATGAGAGTGTGTATGTGTGTTATTTATCAGACACCCCATCTAGGGTGGGCCTGGGATTGGCTTTTGCCCCCTCCTCCCAAAAAACCCCCAAAACTGAATGGCTGTTTTGTGAGGATTAGCAAATTCCCTCAGGGCGAAACAATTGGTGTGCTCCAGCCAGCTTTATATTTTCTTGCCTAATATTTTGACCTGTTAATTCTTCACTATATTTCAGCTCTTTGATGCATTTAGCAATATTAAAATTTTTAAATCCGGCATTTTTAGTTGCTTTCATTGAGAAGCTGGTCCTATTAACCTACCTTGCCATTACTGGAAAAAGAAGCTTATACTTTCTTGGGAAACATTTGAAATTTTACACTAATTAAAAAACATGAATATGATAAAAAATCAAAATAGTACAAGATACAATGAAATACAAAGTGTAAAATTAAATCCTCTTTGCCCACACACAAGACCCTTAAGTCTCCCTTATAAGGAAACTACTGTTAACAGTTGTGTGTACATTTTCTTCCAAAACTTTAATTTGGGTTTCTTGAATCTAAAGCACACATGTGTTTTTATAAGCACATATATGCATATATAAACACATATGTTTTATATAAGTATATATATATGTTTTTATGATCTTTAAAAATGACATATTTTTCTAAAACTTTAAAAAAATTTAACAATACTTCTTAGAGATCTTTCCATATCAGCACATACCACATTATTTAGATATATCATAATTTTTCTAACCAGATTCCTATTAATAGATATTCAAGTTGTTTTCAGCTTTATGCTATTATAAACAGTTCTGTAATAAACATCTCTTAGATAAATTTATTTAAGTGGAATGCCCAAATTGCCCTCTAAGAGGTTTTATTAATATATTCTCACACCAAAAGCATGTCAGCATCTTTTAATGGTTACATAATATTTCATCATGTGCATGTACCATAATAAACTTACTCTTTTCCTGGAACTGACACATTTATTTCAATCAAGCAAGTAAATAGGAAATAATAATCACTTACCCGCCACAATGTAGGCACTCTCGAATTAAGAAAAGAGTCATATATTTCCTCCAATTCTTGGGTGAGGATGATCTCCCCTTTTATAGCAAGTTGAAGATCTTGCAGGGATTTATGTATAATAAATAGTAACTTATCAAATCGTTCAATTTCTTGGCTCAAAAAGGTTAGCATGGCACAATGGCTAAGGGAATCATGGCCTGGATTGAGAAAAGAGATAAAATCATGATATCTTTCAGATAAAATGAGGCTTAACATGGAGAAATACAGGCTTTGGAAATTAAAGGAATTCAAGGTGTCTAGACCAGGGATTGAAACACATCTTCTGCAAAAGGCCAGCTAGTAAATATTCTAGGCTTTGTGGGCCATACTGCCTCTGTCACCACTACCCAGCTCTCCCTCTGTGGTGTGAGTGCAGCCATAGACAGCACGGAAGCGAATAAGTGTGGCTGTATTCCAATAAAGCTGTATTTGTGGGCATTCAAATTTGAATTTCATATATTTATGTGTCACAAACTATCCTTCTTTTCATTTTTTTTCAACCATTAAAAAACGTAAAAACCATTTTAGCTTGCAGGCTGCCCTAAAACAAACCATGGGCTAGATTTGGCCCGCAAGCCGTAGTTTGCCAACCATCCATCTGAACTCAACAATAGTACTGTTTGGGTAGACTATTGCTCAACATTTGGTTCCCAAATAAATCTTTTTTAAAGGGTTAAAACATGGGTGTTGAAAATTTAACTGGGCAAGTCACCACAGTCCAACACTTCAGCCCCTCAGAGCTGGGCCTGGAACCAACTCTGGACAACCAGGTTTGCTCTGTATCCTCTGGGCCTGCCCTCTCTCCCTTAGTTCCTCAGGGTCAAGACATCTCCCATCAGAGGGCCCATCTAAAACTCACTGCCCAAAATGCTGTTCCAGAGGCAGAGAGGCAAAGACAACAGGGACCTAAAGTTCTTTAGCCTCTCTTCTCCTTTCTGGTTTGCTACAATTATTATTTCTTCACATTTGGTCTTGGCCCCCACGTCCCCCAAAACAAAACAAAACAAAACAAAACAAAACAAAACCCTACAGCATCATTTTCTTCTCTGCTCCCCATCTCCCAATTTGGAGAGAGAAGGGAGTAGTAGAGATTTAGCTTTCCATCTCATCTCAGCCTTTTACTTCTATCGTACCTTTGTGTGGCAGAGTCCCTCCCTGAGGAGGCTGAGGTGAGAGGAGGAAGCTCATGTCCCATGCTTACCTTTCAGACCTTTATAAAGAGACTCCCACGTGGGGCTTGACATGATGCACTTCAGTGTGCTTGGAGTTCCAGCACATTCTTCTTTCTCCACAGACAGTGGCAGCCGCTTTAGCATGTCAGATAGAATTTCCATCACCAGTTTATCATTATTCTGCTCATGACTGCAGAAGAAATTAAGAGAAGAATGAGATACAGGTCTATCTAATCCAGGAGGGCCCTCTACTTTGTCCTATCTGAAGGAAAACACAGCTTCACAGAACCACAAAACCATGATATGGAGACTATGGAGACTTATAGAGACCATCAAGTTCATTTCATCTTATAGATGAGAAAACCGACCAACGCACTTTAGACATTTGCAAGGAAATAGGTATTTTTAAGGATTTCTTTGTAAAATATTCATCATCTGAATGCATCTGCACTAAACCTGGTGCTCCAGCACTAAAGCCGGAGGAACTCTTTGGGATCCTTTTACAGTTGAGGAAATGAGGGCTCAGGGAGGTGACAGGACCTCCCTAAACAGTGAGTGGATGAGTGGGGAATGGGACGCTCTCACTGAGTTCTCTCTGTTACTCTATATACTAGTGGGGACTGGTCTTCCAACAAACATCCCAGGTTTCACACAGCCAAATGAACGACATCCTTCAACCTAAGTGATAATCTGGAAGCTACAGCTATGGGTTTAGTTCAACAGTGCTGCTTCTGAGCCAGCTTACAAGTCACATGAAGTAATATATCTCCTTGCTTCGCTGTCACACTTTGTTTTTGACTTTAAAGTAGGGTTACTCAGTGGAATTCATCCAAGGTGGCTTCAACTGATTCAAAAGATTGAAAGATTTCAAAAATCAAACATCTTCAAAGGGCAAAGATTTGCTACCACTGAGGACGTTAAATTGAATGCGATAGATCTTTCAAGTCAAGTCCCACAGACAAGTTTCTAATATGTTTAGAGCAAAAGGAGCATAGCTGCAATAACCATAGCCTCCCCAAATGACCAAAGGGACATGAGTAAACACATTTGGTATGCTTATTAAAAGCATTCCCTTATAATCTTCTCATCTCTTACTGGTGTATTTGTTGAATGCTAAAAGTACAGAATTAATCCTTAGAAGTGTAGGGCCTGCAAGAAATTCAAGCTGATATTCTGGGAACATACTGTAGGATTTCCAATTAAGTGCTCTTCTCTCTCTATGGGTACAGCTTCCCTTCTACGTCACAGATAGTTGGTATATACTCATTCAGTCAGTGAAATGAGAGTTCAGTTATCTCTATTTTGTGTCAGTGGAATGCCTTTGGAAGATATGACCAAATAGCCAAAGCTATAGAGAGAATTCAATCAGATGTCATTTTAATATGAGTTGCATGGTTCAAAGAGACAGGAAGACTATAAGAGAGCACAGGATTCCAATGGGTTCAGAGGTTTTAGAGGTAGATGGAAAAAAATATACATGTATCCTAAGAGCCAAAGAAATGTAAAATCCAATCTATGAGTACATAGAACTATTAAGTCATGTATAATCAGAATCCAGAAAATATAAGAAAATTTAAGATCATCATATTTATTTGTTTAATTATTAGATTTATAAGAATTATTGAAAGAATTGAGAAGGTTTGACAGTCAGATAGTTGAAGTATATTAACTTTATAATAAATATTAATATATTTGAAAGTGTTTAATTAGGTTTGTAAATGGAAACAAACAGCATTCAAAGACCTTTTTAAAGTGATTGTTAAAATTTGTTAGACTTACAAATTGAAAAATTAGATTTCTAAGCTGAACATAAATGAATAAGGAACTCATATTCTTAGAACAGCCCTCTTAGGTAGATACTATTACTATCTCTGATTTAAAGCTGATGAACCTGAGATGAAAAGACTTGCTTGACTTCCCCAAGTTCACCAAGTCAAGTGATGGAGGTTGGATTTGAACCCAGGCGTAGCGAGGAAGGCAGAGAGGCAGAGGTGTGTCTGTGTGTTAACAATTTCCTGAACAGATAAGAACGGGCACCCTAGGGGATGTTTGAAATAGCGGGAACACACTTTCTTGGGGAGGGAAGAATGGGATTATCCCTTTGGCAATCAAGCCATTGAGAGTTTAAGCCATGTAGTTCTGGTGTTAGTGAACCTGATCTTATGTTATGCTCACAGGCTGAGGAGGCCTGAGAATCTGGGTTATATGTGTTACACCATTTAAACCTCACGATAGCCTTGATGGGTAGGCAGATATTATCTCCATTTACGGACAAGCAGGATAAGGATATTGAGGCAGTGTGGCCTTGGATACAGAGCTAATAGGAGGGATAATCAACACAGGCCTCTAAAAGCAAGGCTAGCTCCTCTTGATGAAACTGTTGTTTTTTCCCGTCCTATAGAAGTAAAGATGACATTTCACATTAAACAAATTCAGTTTCAAAATACTACTTACCAGGTACCATTCAAGAACTTACTCAACAAAGATTGATTGAGTTCCTACTATATGTTTGGTAATTATATATCTATCTGTGTGAATGTGTGTGTATACTTGCTTCTGTGTCAGTTGGAGAATTTAGTTTAATATTTTTCCATAAGTTGTATACCATATATCTTCAAATGAATACTTAATAGTTTTCAACTAACTACTTTTCCTAGTGAGCTCTTACCTGATCACGAGGTTGGTAGTGGTAGTTCTTGGTTGCATGGCAATGAGACTGTCGATGAACTTCTGGCCCTGGACCTCCCGGCAGGCCCTTGTGGCCTCAGGGTGCAATCCTAAGAGCTCAGGAGGGTCCTCCTCAGGTAAGGACTGGATAATGTGTATGTAATCCCTTATGCTGGCAGATTCTGTCACTGGCTGACATACCTGAAAATTTAAAAACAGTTTTTTCCTAGTGAGATCTCTATTTTCAGTAACGCATGAAGACAATATTTCCCCATGAAATTTTACACAGAAGGCTCTTCTTATTTGTAGGTGGTATATTCTAGACACTTCTATCAAAAGTTACATCTGAGACCACCGTATTGTAAAGTGCAGTTAGATGATACGCACACATAACTTCTCATTGGGAAAAGAGAGAAAGGGGAAAAAAAACCACTTTAAAGTCTAGGGTCATTCTGACTACGTGTTGCCTCAGTGAACTATACCCATAGATAATGGATGCAATCAGGCTTTAACAAATCATTTTACTTTGGTAAAACCTATAGAAGGAATGTGAGAATGATCTTAAGAATAAATGACCAGGGGCCGGCCCTGTGGCTTAGTGGTTAAGTGCGCGTGCTCCGCTACTGGTGGCCCGGGTTCGGATCCCGGGCGTGCACCGACCCACTGTTCGTCTGGCCATGCTGAGGCGGCGTCCCACATACAGCAACCAGCAGGATGTGCAACTATAATGTACAACTATCTACTGGGGCTTTGGGGAGAAAAAGGGGAAAAAAAAGGAGGAGGACTGGCAATAGATGTTAGCTCAGCGCCAGTCTTCCTCAGCAAAAAGAGGAGGATTGGCACGGCTGTTAGCTCAGGGCTGATCTTCCTCACCCAAAAAAAAAAAAAAAAAAAAAGAATAAATGACCAATGAGGGGGTGGGGGATGGGCGAAATGAGTGAATGTGGTCACAAGATACAAACTTCCAGTTATAAAATAAATAAATAAAAAAAATAATAAAATAGATTAAAAAGCTATTTAATGGGAAAAAAAGATCTCTTCCTGTTTACCAGCTGTATCTTCCTGTTCATTACTGACTGGATAAAGGCTCTATAAGGAGAGCAGCAGTTCCTTTGACTAATCCCCAGGGTCACATCTAATTAGGAGAAAATGTGCCTTCAAAAACCTATTAAGTGATAATGATGAACGTGGCTGTGCTGGTTAAAAATACGCCCACAAGTTCTTTGACATACATCCCTTCAAAAGACAGAGACTAATTCTCTTCTTGAAGGGAGGCTGGCTGAATGACTTACTTTTACTGAACAGAAACAAAGTGGAAGGGATGGTGTGTGACCTTGGAGACCAGGTCATAAGGGCATCGAAGCTTCTTTCCTCTGTTTTGGTTTACTTACTCTGGAGGGTGCCAGTTGCCATGTTTTGAGGTTGCTCAAGCAGCCCTGTGGTCTCAAATGCTGAGGCTCTGAGGCTTCTGGCCAACAGTCATGTAAGTGAGCATGAAAGTGGATCCTCCTGCCCCAGTTAAGCCTTCACGATGGCAGCCCCAGCTTACACCTTGATTGTAACCTTATGAGAAACCCTGAGCCAGAACAATGCAGCTAAGCGGTCCCCAGGATATGTGTTGGTGCAGTTTTTGTTTATTGGAGTAGATTATAAATTGATTCACAAGAAACCCACAACGTTTAAAAATGAATTGTATCAGCTTGGATCGAAAGGGACAGAGACAGTAAAACATGAAGAGAGGACTTTGGATCCCTGTACAACTATAGACGGGAAGGAGCTGAGAAAACTATTAAGCTGGAAACATGGGCTACTTTTTATAGAACCGGAAGGATAACTCAGAGAGTGGAACCAAGAGCCCAGTGGATGGAGACAAGAGCCTCCGAGTCCTCCCAGGAAGTAAGACTGAGTCCTAAGCAAGGAACTGTCAACATTTACCCAATTGGATTTCAGAATTTCTATGGACTAGCGACTGCTATGTGCTTTCCATTTCCCCCTCTTTGAAGGGAAATGTCTATAGAGGCTCAGCTTCCTGGGCCTCTCCCATCATTGCGTGTGACGTATGTGGTGGTTGGGGCCGATCACTTCTCTTTTTAATTCACAGATCTTCATATGGAGAGGAACCGCTTAGGGAGTTACACCCACGGAGCTGCACCCAACGAGCCTCATGTGCTCCAGCACCTCACAAGATCCTCCAGCATCTTAATGCTGCAATGGATGAGGACTCTGCAGGGGTCTGGGGAGGGGGTGCAGGTATGTTGCATATGGAAAGGATGTAAAACATTTACGGCCAGAGAGTGGATTTGGGAAGTTTTAAAACATTGCCCCCAAATTATTTAACTCTCCTCCCATCAATCTGATTCTGCAGCTGCTTGGCTAATAGAATACAGGACAGAATAAAGGTTCTGTGCCAGTTTCTGGCTCTAGGCCTTAAGTGCTAAAGAAAAAAAAAAAAAGAAAGAATGATCACTGACAAAGAACAGAAATGCCTTGCTCATGTGGCCAGGAAAGTGGTTAGCGGTGGCTGTCTTGACACCTTTGAGGAAAGCATTGGCAAATTAGTGAGGACCACAGGGAAACATCAAATAACAAACAGAGTCACTGCTAAAAAAAATTATATCTGCAGAAGCTAAGATTATGACAAGAAACAGGAAAAGCTGGCAAGTTGGAAGTGTCATAAAATTGCCAGTGTTTAAAGCAACTAAATAATTGAAATACGTGATTTCAGAACACAATTCTGTAGTCTGATATAATTCTGCCAACGGAATTGTATGCTGTATGTTACTGTACACCTTATTCACTTGTGCACACTGAATGTAACAGTCTGTACACAAAAACCAGGCACACTGTACTTTTTTGGCAATTTAAAAGATTTTCAAGGGTAATTTTATCTTAAGGGCTGATTTTTGACTGTAAAAAAATGCTATTTTAAACCGTTTTTTTAATGGCAATCTTAAAAAAAAAAAACTCATAGCTTTTCCTGTCCAGCAAATAATGTATAAAGGATATAATTTAATGTCTTCTTGTTGACTCAGGGTCATCAACACAGCCTATTACTATCCATTCCATAAGCGCCTTACAAATGAATCTCCCTAAAGTATCACTTTTACGTTTCGTCTATCCATCCATACTCTCAAGGCCCTCCACAGACGACCTAGAGATGACCTCTGTTCTCTCCATTATACCAGGCCCACACCCAACTTACAATGATCAACCAGACAGCATGATCTTCCTTCTCATCTTCCATTCACCTTTCTTATGGTGAGAAATTCCCACCTATCAAAACTGATGTCAAGTCCTCCCTCCATAATCTAAGGTAGGTGTTCTGCAGAATTCTTTCCTCTGCTAGCAACCATCTCCCAGGGGCACAACTGCTGGTGTATAACCTGGAGTTTTTTGCTCCACAAAGGTAGAGGCCTGGATGGAGGCTAGACACTAAGTAGAGAGAGGACCAGAGAAGAGGCAGAGATTCATCTTGAGTGCTTGGGGTAGGGGCAAAATTCTTGAATCCCAGCTCTCCTTACTAGTTGTATGAGCTTGCACCCTGAGAACCTCAGTTTCCTCATCTGTAGACTGGGAATGACATCTGCTTCACATGGTTGTTTCGAGCATTAAATGAGAAATATATATAAATTGACCAGCATGGGATAGTGGATCAATAAATGTTAGGGTGCTTCTGCTTCCTTGTGCTTTGTATTTTGTACTCTAGTCTCCCAGAGGGCATGAACCATTTCTTTATCATTCTTTCTATTTACCGTCCGGCATAATGCTATATTTAATAGAGCAGACTCCAGGTTAGAGTGTTGAGGTAGGACTTGACAGCAGGTTTGATGGGTGGGAATTTGCATAGCAGAGGTGAATGGAAGATGAGAAGGAAGACCATGCTGTCTGGTTGATGGAAGTAAGTTGGGTGTGGGTGTGGTATAATGGAGGGAACAGAGATTATCTCCAGGTGGTCTGTGGAGGGCCCTGAGAGGATGGATGTATGATAGATGAAATGGTAATTAATAGAGTAATGGTAAATTACTTTTGTAATACTGAAAGTTAGTAAAAGCCATTAAAAATGAATATTAAAATTTATTTAAATACAGACTTTAAATAATGCAGCAATATTTAGTTAAAAATAAAGAAGATATACAGATGTCCAACAGGCACATTAAAAAATATTCAATGTCACTAATTATTAGGGAAATGCAAATCAAAACAACAATGAGATATCACCTCACACGGGTCAGAATGGCTATAATTACCAAGACAAAAAACAACAAATGTTGGAGAGGATGTGAAGAAAAGGGAACCCTCATGCACTGATGGTGGGAATGCAAACTGGTGCAGCCTCTGTGGAAAACAGTACGGAGAGTCCTCAAAAAATTAAAAACAGAAACATCATATGATCCAGCTATCCCAGTACTGGGCATTTATGCAAAGAACTTTAAATCAATGATCCAAAGAGATCCATGCACCCCTATGTTCATTGTAGCATTCTTCACAGTAGCCAAGATGTGGAAGCAACTCAAGTGCCTATCAACTGATAATTGGATAAAGAAGATGTGGTATATATATACAATGGAATACTACTCAGCCATAAAAAAAGACAAAATAGTCCCATTTGTAACCACATGGATGGACCCTGAGGGTATGATGTTAACTGAAATAAGCCAGACAGAGAAAGACAAATACTGCATGATTTCACTCACATGTGGAGTATAACAAATACACGGACAAAGAGAACAGATTAGTGGTTACCAGAGGGGCAGGGGGTAGGGGGGTGGGTGAAAGGGGTAAAGGGACACATATGTGTGGTGATGGACAATAATTAGACTACTTGGGATGACCATGATGAAGTCTACTCAGAAAATGAGAAACAATAATGTACAGCTGAATTTTCACAATGTTATAAACCATTATTACCTCAATAAAGTTACTAGGGAAAAAAAAAAGTAAGGGAAGAAAATAAATTCCTTCCTTACCTCATCACTAGAGAAACTGAAGTCCTCTCTCAGCATTTCAGGATTACAAAATTTGTAGAGCAGGGTGTTCAAACATCGCCTGTCCCACTTGTCAGCCACCCGGCCACCGTAGATCACTTCCCCCAACAGGTAGCGCAGTGTCGGCCACGGGATATCAGACTGTGCGTCCAGGACATTTTTCAACACCTTTATGGCAACCTTGAGAAAATCCACTAGTTTTTATTATTTCAGCATGTGTTTTCAGCTTACTTGGATGTTGTAACATAAAATCAACAACTCTCAAATAGCTACATATATTTTCTCTTTAGAAATATATGGAAATAGCAAGAGGAATAAAAATATAGGATACACATTTTTGTCTATTAATTCTTTTTTGTTGCTGTTGAACAAACATTGAACTACTTTATTATTATTATTATTATTATTTTTTGTGAGGAAGATCAGCCCTGAGCTAACATCCATGCTAATCCTCCTCTTTTTGCTGAGGAAGACCGGCTCTGAGCTAACATCTATTGCCAATCCTCCTCCCTTTTTTTCCCCCAAAGCCCCAGTAGATAGTTGTATGTCATAGGTGCACATCCTTCTAGTTGCTGTATGTGGGACGCGGCCTCAGCATGGCGGGAGAAGCAGTGCGTTGGTGCGCGCCAGGGATCCGAACCAGGGCCGCCAGCAGCGGAGTGCGCGCACTTAACCACTAAGCCATGGGGCCGGCCCTATTATTATTATTATTATTTTGAACAGACAAAACAATCATGTGGTACTGAATTCAGAAGGTCCAAAAGGATAAACAAGGGCAAGTAAGTTATCTCCCCCTCTCTACTCTAGCCATCAGAGCCCCTCCCTGAGGCCACCACTGTTAGCAATTTCGTGGGTACCCTCAAACAGATATTCTATGTAATTATATGTACATAAATTGATTCCATTCCTCCATCTTTCCCTCCTTATCTCTCTTCCTCTCCCTCTCTTCCTTTCCACTCTCCCTCTGTCCTTCAACTATCTCTCATCTCTCTCTGCCTACCTCTCTTCCGTCTTTTTTTTCTGTTTTCCTTTCTTCCAAAAATGCTAGTTTAGCATACACACTGTCCTGCAATGGGCAATATATCTTGGCTGTCATCGTTCAATGGCTGTAACAACTCATATTTCCATTAAAAGTGAGTGAAAGGATTCTTTGTCACTGTTCTCTCGTTGCTGTCATCATAGGAGATGTTGGTTTACTTAATTTTTGCCAGTCTGATGGGTGGTACTTTCCTGTTAGTTTAACTTGCATTTCACCTGATACTGATTATTTTGAGCATTTTATGTCTTTTGGTCAAGATTTGATCTTCTGTACATTACCTATTTTTCCTTTGGATTGTCTTTTTCTTGTTCATATGTAAGAGCTCTTTGTATATTATAGATATTAACTCTTTGTCAGTCATTTGCATTGCAAATATTATCCTAAATCTGTGATTTGTCTGTTGACTTTATTTTGTCACCATTTGCCATATAAAAGTTTTTATAATGAAATATGCCTATCTTTTATAGTTCTGGGTTTCCAATTTTGCTGAAGTTGTCCCTCCCTCCAGGATTGTGTACATAATCTCCTAGATTTAGGTTTTTGTTTTTTCTTTTGCTGAGGGAGATTTGCCCTGAGCTAACACCTGTGCCAACCTTCCTCTATTTTGTATGTGGGATGCCGCCACAGCATGGCTGATGAGTGGTGTAGGTCCATGCCCAGGAGCCAAACCTGGGCTGCCACAGCAGCGCACCTTGAACTTAACCACTAGGCCACAGGGCCGGCCCTTAGATTTAGTTTTAAAGATTTGTATTGTTTTATGATACCTTTAAATCTTACTCCATTCTGGAATTTATTTTTGTACATGGTATAAGATAAAGGGCCAAAGTAATTTTCTCCCAGCTGGATGGCCAATTGTGCCAGTATCATTTACTTTTTAAAAAAATACCTCTTTACTGAGTTAAAATACTTTCTATGTCAAATCTTAAAATTTCAGATAAACTCAGATCAATTTCTGCATTCTCCATTATGTCCCACTGATTTATTGTCTACTTCTGCCAAACAATATTGATTTTAGTATAGTGATTTTTATTTATTTATTTATTTATTTTGGTGAGGAAGATTGGCCCTGAGCTAACATCTGTGCCCATCTTCCTCTGTTTTGTATATGGGATGCTGCCACAGCATGGCTTGATGAGCTGTGCACAGGTCCGTGCCTGGGATCCAAACCCGTGAACCCCAGGCCACCAAAGCCGAGCACATGAACTTAACCACTATGCCACTGGGCTGGCCCCTATAGTGATTTTTAGTATGTTTTGATATCTAGTGATGGAAGATTCCTGCAGTATTTTTATTTTTTGAACATTTCTGGCTTTTTCTTCGTCATCTCTTCTTCACGTGCATTTTATCAATTTCAAAATCTTCCTAACAGGATTCTAATTGGAATTGCATTAAATTTGATCAGTAATTTTGGAAGAATAGGTAGTTTATGAGATGGGAAGTCTTCCCGTCTAAGAACATGGAGTGTATTTATTTAGAGAAGGCAGGATTTAAAAAAAGGAATCACTTTAGGTGCATTGTTAGATTATTTGAGATTTTTCTTGTTTGTTGAGATAGGCCGGTATTGCTATAAACTTCCCTCTTAGAACTGCTTTTGCTATAATCTATGCAGAAATAGAAGTATAATGACGTACACCTGAAATTTATACAATGTTATAAACCAATGTTACTGCAATAAACAAAAAATTAAAAAAAAAAATTAAAAAAAAAGGAATCAGACTGCCACTTAGTGTAACTTGGGCAAGTTTCTTAAGTGTCCTGTGCCTTTATTTCCTTATCTATAAAATGAGGATAATTAGTGTATTTACCTCATAACATTGTTGTGAGAATTAAATGATTCATATAAAGCAATCAGAACATTTTAAGCTCTCAACAAGTGTTATTCTTCTTTTTTCCTCCTAATTTATACTATTCTTTATCTAGGACACATACGTTTCTTGTTCAATTTGTCCCTGAATATTTAAAAACTTTTAATTGGAGTGTGAACACTTCCATTTCTAGGTGTTTATTGCTAGGGAAAAGTTTTTGGTTTTTAGATGTTTATAGTTTTATCCAGTTACTTTACCAAATTCTCTAATTACTTCTACTGGGTTTTTTTTTTTAAACTAGACTTTTAGGTTTTCTAGATATACAATTATATCTAGAAAGATATATATATATCTTATATATAGTTTTTTCCTCTCTTTTACAGCATTAACATGAATTACGTATTTTCTTATCTCATTGCATTTACTAGAACTTTGAAGGCAATGTTGAATGATAATGGTGATAATAGGCATCCCTGTCTGATTCTTGATTTTATTTGAAACAATTTCAGTGTTTGGCTATTTAGAATAGTATACACTGTATTTTTTTGGTAGTCGTTTTCATATTTAAGCAGTTCCTTTTAATTCTACATTTTAGAGTTCTTATTAGGAATGGTGCCTAATTCATAATAAAAGCCTCTTCTACATCTATTGATATGATCATATGAACTAAGATTATAGATTTCTAGATATTGAGCCATTCTTGCATTCTTGGAATAAAACCTACTTCATCAAAGTGTATTATTCTTTTGATTCATTGCTGAAACCTGTTAATAATTTATATAGAATATTTACACCATCCTAAGTGAAATTAGCTTATAGTTCTTATGTATAAGAACTTATAGTTCTTGTGTATATTTTATTTATCAGGTATTCATATTACAATTACGTTGTTTTCATAAAATGAATTGGGGAGATTGCCATCTTTTTTTCTAAGGTTTGGAATAGTTTAAATAATGTTACTATACCTGTTTTTTACAGTTCAGAGTGAACTAAGCTATGAAACTATTTTGTTCTGGTGTAATTTGTAATATCCCTTATGACAATTGGCCTACTCATAATTTCCATTTCTTTTTCAGTCAATTTTGATAATTCATATTTTCTGGGAAATCATCAGCTTCATCTAGATTTTCAAACTTTATTTGTCTTATCAAAAACCAATTTTGGGGGCTGGCCCTATGGCTTAGCGGTTAAATGCGCGCGCGGTCCGCTGCTGGCAGCCCGGGTTTGGATCCCGGGCGTGCACCGAGGCCCCGCTTCTCCGGCCATGCTGAGGCCACGTCCCACATACAGCAACCAGAAGGATGTGCAGCTATGACATACAACTATCTATTGGGGCTTTGGGGGGAGAAATAAATAAATAAATAAAATTATTAAAAAACAAACAAAAAACCCAAAAAAACCCCCAATTTTTGTATTTATTTTTCCTTTCTACTATTTTTTGAATATTATTTCATTAATATTAAAATTATACTTATTCTTTTATTTCCTCTTGTTTTTTTCTAATTTATTAATATGAATATTAATTTCCTCCATTTCTTCTTCAATAATGAAGATATTGAAGGCCATAGGTATTTTTTTTTTTCTGAGCATAGTTTTTGTATTATCACATCACTTTTGGTATGAAGTAGTCTCATTTCCCCTGTGTTTGAGATATTTTGTGATTTCCCTTTCTAGATTCATGTTTCTTAATTTCCAACTTAAGACTTTTTTGGGTCAAATTTTTATTATTTACTAGATTATGATCAGAGAACATGACCCATAAAATCATTAAAGATTTTTGTTTGTGGCCAAGTTCATGAGTTTTGGAACAGTTCCTTAGATATATGAAAAAGTATGTGCTGTCTACCGGAGGGATGTTAGGCTCTATAGACATCTGTTAATCAAGTTTGTTCATTATATAATTGTATTGTCTGTCTTATTTTTGCTTATTAAAGCTATCTAATTCTGAAAGAGACTTTTAAAAATCGTCCACAATAATTACATATGAATATACATGTATGTAACGTATGTGTTCATGTCTATATGTGTGTCTAAATATACACACATACATATATGTATACATATGTTACAGTATGCTATTGTCTATAAACATGGAGACCATACAGTGTCACGGCTGAGAGCAGCAACTCTGAAGCTAGACTGCCTATGTTTGAATTGTGTCTGTTCTGCTTACTAATCGGGCAAATTACTTAACCTCTCTGTATTCAATTGTAAAATGAGGATAATACTCCCTTCTTGACAGGGTTGTTGTGAGGTTTAAGTTAATGTGTAAAATACTTAAAACCATGCCTGAGAGGGAGCAATCTATAAAAGTTAACTATTTTCATGACTGTTATATCTTCATAAAGTGTTTCTCTTTCTACTATTTGGTGCTTTTTCAGATTAGCTTCCATCTTGTCTGATATTAATATTGCCATTCCTGCTTTTTTGCTGTTTTTGTTTTCCTGGTAGTTTCAAGCTTTCTCCACTAATTTAAGCATTTTTCTTATAAATTGCATTTTTCTCTTAATGAGAGAATGCAGTTAATTTCCATTTCATATAATACTTGATAATATTCCTTCCTTATTGCTTTATGTTATTATTTCTTTTACTTTGTTGTTTCTCTCCCTCCCTCTTATTTTTGATAGTTTGACCAATTTGTTCTTTTTCTTTTTCTTCTTTGTCACTTTTCCATTTTGTCAGTGTTTCCTTTACAGATTTCCTTTCCTTTCCTTGAATTCATATTAAAATAATGTTTCTTTTTCCAAATGAAAAGAAGGTATCAATTATTTCTTCACCCAAGTGTTCCATTTCCCCATTTCTTCCTCTGCCCTCCCTAAACTTAGGGCTAGTGATAAGGTGGAACATTCAGAAACCTTCTACTTCCCTGCTCTCCTCACATGAAAACTTGGGAAGGCTCTTCCTCTCCTCCCTCCACTTACACGTCCCCCGCCACTCCAACTCCTGGGGTTTGGTGAGATACTTTGGTATTTTCAGCTTAAGACTATTAGGGGAATTTTTCTTGTAGTGAGACTCTTCCTTTTAAATAATCTATATTTAGCACTTAGACTACTCACCCTCCACAGTTTATTATTATCCATTTAGATTTAACAAAGTACTACAAGGCTTAACAACATACTGCTCACCAGTTTCCACTTCCTTTCATTTTTCTTTACTTTGGGTCTCTGTTCTGATACATTTATGCATAGTTACAGATCTTACTTAAGCATTTCCCATAGATAGAGAACATGAGTTCTATATGATTAAATCCTTGCTGATAGGCAAATGTCCTTCTTTTGCTTTGATAGGGTGAATGACATCTTGCCTGGGAGCAAGATTCTTAGACTATAGTCTTCGTCTCTCAGGTTCTCTAGATGTTATTACGTTATCTTCTAGCCAGGGATGTAGATGACAAGTCTAATGTCATCATTGTTATTTTATAACTTGTCCTAGAAGCTTGGAGTTCAGGAATTTTCCAGCTTATGTCCAAATTATGTCTTTACAAGCACTGAGTCAGTGGTTGTAAAGCCTGAATCAGTGAGATTTTCAATTTTCAAACTCAAATGTGTCATCAGTTCAGGGAAAATAAAACAGCTTTCTTCTTTGTTTTTCTCTGTCTATTCCATTTTCTCCTCAGGAATTCATATCATCTGAATATTAGGTTACCCTTCAAACATCTTAATTTTTGCCTCATGATTTCCATCTTTTTGTAACTTTCTTCCCATGCTTGGGTTATTCATTCTATTTTTGATTTTTCCAGCCATTAACTCAAGTTTCAACCATGACCATTCTTTCCTTCAGTTCATCTATCCCATTTTTTTTTTTAGTTCAAACATCATGGTGTGTGTTTACAGCTCCAGTTTCTTGACTATAACGCATGGAGCCTATGCACTAATTCACTCCTCTTGCCATACATGTGGAAATGAACCATGCCAGAACACAACGAGACTTGCCCTTTTTATTTTGTGAAAGGGAATAATCTTTGGAGATTATTTATAATCCTAAATGGAGCTGTTAAGACAAAAAGAAAAACTCCAAACTTTGGAAATAGGCAAAAGGAAGACCACATATCTTGGTAATGTCATATTGGAGCGCTGTCTAACATGCTCATTCATGGATTATCAAATGCTCCAGGAGAATCTACTTTTGTTTTGACTTACTATTGATTAGAGCCCTTTAAAACTCTGTCAGAGTAGACGCTAACTTATGGAAAACTGAGAGCCCTGTATATAATTCCTTCTGATGACACTGCAAATGAATTTTGTTATGTAGAAATACACATGGTTCTGGCTCATAAAGGAAATCACACCCCAAAGGTTACGTGTTATTGCCTATAGGGCATTTAGCAGTTTTGTATGTAATTTAGCAGTCACATTTCATGCCTATTTCTTTCCGTAACTATAAATACTTCTGCTCTCCTATACTTTTAAAAATCAGGTTTGCCATCCTGCTGCTTCTTCCATCAGTGAGTTAAAACAATCTTTGATACATGCTCACTTAAAAAAATCCAATGTGTGACAGGTGTATGTGCATGAGCTATCATATCCTTACAGGGTCTTATAATTTCTATTTCTTATGTTCTTTCTCTCTTTGGCTACTGGATCACATTAGATATGTTACTTTTCTTGGTCTTGTCATTGGGGCTCAGATCCAGGTTTTGGGGAGCTTGCATCTAGTGGAAGTAGCTCTACATCTGGTGGAAGATATGTTGATGTTTAGTCCTACGGACTAGCAGATATGGCCGGTCAGATTGCCAGCCCCTTGAGGAAACTCTCTCCAAATTGCCTGACGTTGAGCTGGCTGGGATTGGGACACCTCCTAGTGGGAGGAGCTATGTCCAAACTCAACTTCCCATTGAGCCAGAAGTTTCCACTTCCTTAACAAGAGGGGCCGTGCATAAACCCAATTTACCACAAAGTTCCAGGGGGCTAGCAGTTGGAATTTCTAGACAAATTTTTGAGCACCAGACACCAAAACTCAGATCACTTGGCACCCAGGCAGTCTCTCTCGCACTGACAAGGCTGCTCTCACATTTGCCACATAAAAAGGGAGAAGAAAGGAGGGGAAGGGTGCCTCTTCTGAAGAACAGCGCCATGATGTAACCAGTGGCTTCTGGCTTAAGCAGGCCTCTCTGCAAAAGGCCAAAAGGAGAGCAGCATCCCATGAATTCCAGCCTGTACCAGATGATGGTGCTGGTATTCATCCAAGCTCTCTGCATGACAATGTACCCTCCTAACACCTGGCCTTCCATAATCCTACCATTTATTTCCCTTGTGGGTGGTTTAGTATATATTTAAATATATAGTATAAATATATGTGCAGAAATGAGATCATACTATACATGCTCTGTTATAACCCAATTTTATTAATCAATCCTATAAATGAGACTATCTATTTCTACATCAATAATAATAGGAATTTTTTAGAAGGCTTTTGATATATATTGCCAAGTTGCCTTCCAGACAGTTAGTAACAATTTAATTCCCAGCAGCAGTATAGGATAGTGCCTGCTTCTCTGCATTTTTGTTGTTTATTTGTTTGTTTCAGCCACCGTGGCAGTGAAAGTTGGTATCTCATTGAGGTTTTAATGAACGTTTCCTTGATTACTGCATTAGTCAGGGTTTTTCAGACAAACGGAACCAATAGGATGTATATACATATAGGAGGAGATTTATTGTAAGAATTTGGCTCATGCAATTATGGAGGCTGACAAATCTCAAGATCTGTAGTTGGCAGGGGGAGACCCAGGAGAGCTGATGGTGTCGTTCCTGTCCGAAGGCCAGCAGGCTCAAGACCCCGGAAGAGCAGAACTTCAATTCAAGTCCCAAGGCAGGACAAAAACTAATGTCCTAGCTCAAAGGCAGTCAGGCAGGAGGATTTTCCTTTTTTGTTCTATTCAGTCCTTCAACTGGTTGGATGAGGCCCACCCACATTAGAGAAGACAATCTGCTTTACTCAGTCTATCAAGTTAAATGTTAAGCTCATCCAAAAGTACTCTCACGTAAACACCCAAAATTACGTTTGACCAAATATCTGGGCACCTTGTGGCCCAACAAGTTGACACACAAAATTAACCATCACAATTACTGCTGAAGTTGAACAAATGTTTATGATCTTATTGCCTTTTTGTATTTATATGGTGAATTGCCAGTCCATATTCTTTGCCTATTGGGGTATTTTTCTTTCTCTTATTAATTTACAATCTTCATATAATGAGCATGTTAACCATTTGTCTAAAATATGGTGCAAGTATTTTCCCCCCAATATACTGTTTGTCTTTTGATTAAGCTTTGGGTGAGGTTTGGACAGCAGTGTGCTTGCGCCCAGGGTCCTTGACAAGTCCCAGAGTGGAGCTGCTTTAGAGGATGCTCTGGGTAGGTGCAGACACAGATACCCTGATAGACAGTTGAGCCTGCAGTATGACAGCCTTCTGTGAAAACTGAGACGCCTAACGAAGCCACAGAAGACACGGAAGTGAACCCATCTGGGGTGAGTCTAGGTGACAGATACCCAGAGGCAGAACCAAGATTTTCCTCAGGAAGTTTTTTGGTGTCTACTCTAACATATAAATGAAAGGGTAATCAAGGCGACGTTCTGTGCTGGGAGCACAGTTGCAAGAAAACTAACCGGGGAAAGATTTAAGCAGGTGCTACCGCATATCTGCTTTGCAATAAAGAAAACAGACTGCAATATTAAGCACAAATAGAAGGTTCTATATAGAGAATGGTAAAGAAAGACTATTAAGCTAAGCCGCCCTCCCACTGCCATGGATCTCTTGTTTCAAATGAATAAGTGAAACCAACAAACACTTTGCAGTGACTTACCTGTGCCGGGCACTGTTCTCAGTGCTTTACCTGTGCTCGCTAGTCCGCCTCTTACAAAGCCCTTCAGTAGGTGCTAGCACTTGGCCTCCCCTCTCCCACCCTGCTTTTTTTGGCCTGGAAACTAAGACCCAGAGAGGTTAATTACCTTACCCAATAGATTAAGTACTGGTACAGCTATAAGTGGTGGAGCTGTGATTTGATTGCAGAAAAGCTGGCTTCAAAGTCCACGCTTTTAAATGTTGGCCGTTATTGCCTAGTTACAGAGTTCATTTTCTTACCACCATGAAAAAAACTTAGTGTTTGTGTAGAAACGTACTAGGCTCTTGGTTTGTATCTTACTGTTATCTGTTTGTTGTTATTGTTTATTTTAAGATACCACACTTACCTCCAAGTCTGAAGAACCAAATTTATAAGCAATATTCCAGCCGAATATGCCATAGTTTTTTCTTTCATTGATCAGAGCATTGAAAAAACATAAGCTGAATAAAAGTTTTTTCCACCATGGTCTGCAGTCAGGCTGTTCAAATAGCTCTTCTGTCACCTCTCCACTCCCGGTATATCCGAAGGTCTGAAGTAAGTTACTTTTCAATCCCTGGGGGTTTTCCACGGCAATCTTTAAAACAAGTGTGAGTCAAAACAGCATGTGAGCACAGACGCAGGACTAGGGTTGGGGGCTTTTCTTTGTAGAGCACAGGTAAGAGAACCAGCTCAGAATGGAACTGTTTTCAAGATTTGGTGGCAAGTCAAAAATCTTCTGTTATTCTTTTCCCATTTGAAAACTTCTGTAAAAGGACTGTACCACATTTTCTATTGTTCTAGTTCATGTCTTAAAATGAGAAGTGGAACTTTGTCATTAAGAGCCCTCCAGCTTGCTCTAAGTGTAGAGTTCTGGAAGCACAACATTTTAGAAAGTTTGACGATGAAGAGGGACTGTAGTCTACACTCTGAATGGCAGCTGAGTGGCTGTAACAGAGTCAGGGCTGCACGACCTCAGCTCCAGATATGGGGGCGCCAAACCGTAGAAACAGAGAACTAATGGAACCAACACAAGTATCAGGCATCATTGGTATTAAAAAGGAGAACAATTAATTTAGTGTGTTACTAAATTGTTTTGCTTGCGTTAAAAATCACTTTGGTTGACTTCTTAACTAGGATAATTGAAGTGAGGGCCGGGAGGTGAAGTGGGGAGAGAATGAATCAATTGGAGGGCTTTTCTGGGAATGTGGCTGTTAAGTCTGAAACTGTGAAGGATCTGAAACATTCCCTTACTTGCACAGTTTACATATATATACATACACACACATATATGTAAGTATGTGTGTATATCATATATAAGAATTGTGTGGCTATGTATTTATATGTGTAAATGTGTATAGACATGTATATACGATGTATGTGTGTGTGCATACATGAACATGAGATTTCTGGATCAGAGATCAGACTGGTCACTGATTCACAGAGCAGCTTACGGTGGTTCCCCATGCTCTGATTCCCCACAAGGCGACACAGTGGGAGCCAGACATATCCTGTGTGTCTGAGGTGGGGTTTGTACCACAGGAGTGGGACTCAGATGATGAAACTTGGAGCTTATATAGAATGGCTGGCGTAGCAGCCCCTCCAGAGATAGAGAGAGAGAGACTTTTGCTCTGGAATGGGAACAGATCCTCTCTGGGGAGAGAGAAGGAAGTCTCTACGGGTTTTACAGCCCCTGGAGTGTAAGCAAATGGCTCTGAGTTTTATTACCCTCAGGACGCAAGCAAGTGGCTCCAGGAGACTGAGGACAAGCCTCTCTGGATCTAGCACTTTAGAATGTGAGCAAGCGGCTCTGAAAAGTGCACGGTGGAGGAGATATCCTTTATCTTCTAAGGCATGTTTACCTTTCAAATATCCCTTTATGCGGGTTGCCCGCCATCTTTGCTCAGAAAGTCCTGGCTATGCAGAAATGAGAAAATCTTCACAGAGCATTGTTTCCTGACTGTTAGGACTGATTCTTTTGGGAACTCCTGCTCATGTCTCTAAAAGCAGATGTCTGCCTGCCCCCATAAGGAACTCTATCTCAAGGGGACAGAGAGAGGGAGAGGGGGAGGGAGAGGGAGAGAAAGAGATGGGGAGAGAGAAAATGGGTGTGTACAATCAATATTGCTTTGGGGAGAAAGTTACTAATGTCTGAAATGAAACTTTATTTTGTTAAATTTCAAAAGCAGTTTCATGCCATGTCCTTGGTTTTCCTTTTCCTTCTCTTTCCCTCCATTTTTTTTTTTCTTTTGGGGGATGATAATGTTTGGGTCATATTTGTGAGGAAGTGATTTACACACTCTGGCAAATGATTCTGTTAAAAGTCTGAACTGATTTTGGTGGGGTGGTTTACTTTTTATTAAAGCAGAGAGAGTCATATAATTAACTCCATGTACCCATCGCTCACCTTCAACAGAGGTCAATATTTTGACAATATTGCAAAATCCTGTTTTTAATATTAACTTGTGCTTAGTTGAGCATAAAACACACAGTAGCCAACCCATGAGAGCTTTGTGATACCCTTGAGTGTGTTATTTTATCAGTCTGTTTCCTTGTCATCTTTCAAGTCTGCTCAAATGTTCCCTCCTTGATGAAGACTCTCTTGCCTGTCTCTCCTCTGTCCTACTACTGGCCACACAGTATCGTATATTGGAAACACTTGGTTATCAGTTCCCATTCCTCCACTAGGCTGTGGGCTCCTTGAAGGTAAGAACTTGGACATATACTGTTAAAATATCTTTCTTATCATACAATTAACACATGCTTGTTGTAAGAATTTTAGAAAAACACACAAAAAATAAAAATTATAAAACAAAAATATTAACAAATATATTTATTATAAAATATAACAATATAAAATATTTTTAAATCACTAGTAACATGCCACTTAGAGGTAACTACAGATAACATTTGGTTATATTTGCTTCTAGATAATGTTTTTCTTCTTTTTGTTTTCTTTTATAAAATTTATATCACATTATATGTTCTGCTTTATCTTCTGCTTTTTACCATAGTCATTTTGTGTTGTCAAATATAAAAATATTCCTTTAGAATTTGATGTTTAGTAGCAGCATACTATTTTATTATATAAATATACCATAATTTATTTGGCCTTTTTCTAGAAGTGGGTCAATTGATTAAATTGTATGAAATTTTAAAAGACTCTCTATATATTGCAAAATTACTCTCCTTTCTGCATTAATATCTTTCTAATATTGCCTTATTAGCAGGATGTGAGAGTAGCTATTTCATTGTACCCTTAACCTCATTAATTACATCATAACAATTTTTAATCTTCACCAATTTGATGGACTATCAGAGGTATCTCGTTGTTTTCATTTTCATTTCTCTGACATCTAGAGGCTGAACTTTTATTTTTTCATACGTTTATTGACCTTTTGTGTCCTTAGCCCATTTTTATGGGGTGTTAGTGTTTTTCTTAATTATCTGTAGTTGCTCTTATTTCTATATTAAGAAAATTGTCATCTCTATCTGTATACATAATGGTATATGAAAAATCCCATAAAGTTTTATGTATGTACTAATTACAACGACATTAAAAATGCTTACACTGATGGAGACTTAAAGTGGACTGAGAGCAATGGACCTACTTAAGATGAAATGTTCCTTGAAGCTCTATCTCTGTCCCTCCCTGCCACGCTTCACTCCCCTGCCCCCAGCACCTCCACCTCCCAAATCCCCTCTTCTGGCCACAGACAAAAGGCTGCTTGAGATCATAATCTGCCCCACCCTGGGAGGTCAGTGGAATATCTAGAGTCTCAGGCTAAGAGCTGTGGATTTCTCCAATCCACGTTCTGTCTTCCCCAGGAGCAGGAGTGCTGGGAAGCGACTCAGAGCTGTCAGCTTGGGTAAATCTGCACAGGACACTGGGAAGGGCTGGGGAGCAGTGCGACAGGGAGAAGTTTGTTCCCAAGAGTGAATCTGATGTATCCTTGGGCTGGGTTGGGACTCTATCCAATCAGGAACGTGCCCCACCCAGCCGATTTGCTGTTATCATCCCAATTCTGTTGCAGTTGGAAGGGTGCATGTGCTTACACGTCCGGGCGCAGCATTCCGCCTGTGCCATCGGTCAGTTTTCTTTGCTGTCGGGACTCCATCTTTTGGTCAGCTGGACACTTGTTTAACAGAATTGACCAAGTCTTAGTATTTATTCAAAATCAACGGTGAAGATGAGTAGAAGTCACAGGCAACCTTTAGTTAGGACTTTTTAGTCAGTAGTTTAACTTGTTTTCCTCCAGACCCTTTCCAGAGAATTAATAATGAACTGTGAAATGGTTGAGGGGAGCAGAGGTAGGAAAAAGCTAGAGAAGCAAAGGGCAAGGAAAGGACACAAATTCTATATTCTGGTTTACAACCGTGGGGAGCCTAAGCATCCTTGTATGAGGAAACAAACATCTAAATTGTGAATCACTTGAAAGCAGGGATCTTGCCTACTCCTCTAGCACCCTTCCTGGTCCACAGCATAGGGCTGAGCACAGAGCAGAAATTTAACATACTAGAATTAACAATCTCCTCTTAACTCAGAATTATAAATGCAAGATGATTTACATTCAAACAGTATTCCTTAGTCACTATTAAAATCTGTTATTATTTGTTCTTACCTTTAAACTCTTTTGAAGAATAGGAATTGGGAAAGAACTGTCTGATTTTGAGCTTAACCAGAGCCTAAACCCAGGATCTATTGTCACATCTGGACTACTAAATCTGCAAAATAAAACATTTATAAATATCAGAATGTGAAAAATTTAAACCAAACCAACATGTTCTGAGAATCATAGTATTTCAATGTTTAAAATGACCTTAGAAATCATTTTAATAATCAAAGAGCTTATTAGACTACCAGAAGAACTTTCATCTTGCACAAGAATTTGCACAAGACCCATTAATTCCCATTTAAAAAAAGTAGTTTTCTCTCCCTTAAGAGTAAAAGTGATATATTCTCATTGCAAAAAGCCTGGAAACAAATTACAAATGAAGAACAAAACGAAGAGTTCCACTGGTCAAATCCAGGACAAGTGAACATCAAAATAAATGGCTATAGTAACAGATTACAATGCATTGAATAAAATAGGAATCTATGAGTCCATACTGATATAAATAAACAAATGAACAAATAAATGGGGGAGAAGGGAAAGCTCTTCCTTATAGTAGAACATCGTTTAATAAATTTAGAAGGAATTGTGAAGTTAGAAAGTCACCATTTGGCAAATAATATAGTAATAATTCAGTCAAAAATTATCAACGGATGTTAAAATGAGTGGGTGAAAGTTTGGGATATATACATGGTCTGAAAGTTCCTACAGGTGGCACACAACACTTTAATCAAATGATCAACGTTAATAACACCAGTAATGGGACAGATTGACATCGTGTGCCTCTTGATATGATGTACCGAGAAGGATACAGCATCACATCTGTGGTATTCCTGCAATATTGCATAACCTTAATCTAACCATGAGAAAACAGCAGACAAATCCAAATTGATGGACACTTCACAAAATAACTGACTTGTACTTTTCAAAAACATCAAAGTTATGAAAGACAAAGAGACTGAGGAACTATTCTAGAATAAAAGAGATTTAAGAGACATGACAACTGAATGCAATGTGAAATCTTGAATTGGACCTTGGACAAAAACTTTTTTCTTTTTTTACAATAAAAAGTATTATTGGGGGTCCGCCTCATGGCTTAGCGGTTAAGAGCGCACGCTCTGCTGCTGGCGGCCCGGGTTCAGATCCTGGGCGCGCACCAATGCACCGCTTCTCCGGCCATGCTGAGGCCGCGTCCCACATACAGCAACTAGAAGGACGTGCAACTATGACATACAACTATCTACTGGGGCTTTGGGGGATAAATAAATAAATAAATAAATAAAATTATTAAAAAAAAGTATTATTGGGACAAGGCTAGATATGACTAAGTTCTGTAGATTAGATAATCAATAAACAAACTGAAGTGTCTAGGGGTCAAGTGACATCATGTCTGCAATTTTCTTTCAAATGATTCGGAAAAAAATTACATATATATGTATGTACATATGAAAAAATGATAGAGCAAATGTTAACAATTGCCAAACAGAGATCAAGGGCATAAGGGAGTTTTTTGTACTATTCTTGCAACTTTTCTGCAAATCTGAAATTATTTTTTAAAAATTTGCAAAACAAATCAAAACAACAAAAGCAAAAAAACACCAAACACAAAATTAAATAGAGAAACAAAAATAATCTGAAATCCTACTAAGTAAGTATAAGTATACTTTTCTCCTTTTTTCCTCTCCCTCTGCATCTCTCTCTCTAATTAAAATAAAAATATTATAACGTACATACTGTTTGTAGCCTGCTATTTTTCCTCTTAGTAATATATTGTGAACATATTTCTTTAATTCCTAAATTTAAGAATAATTTTTTCCACATTTTCTTCTCTCATTGTAGGCTGCTAGGGTGATAGCCTTAAATATGTAAAGGCTTGATTTGATAAAGAAGTATGAATTTCTCTTAATCCTACTCTGATTATATACAATGTTTTTTACATATTGTTGATTACTTTTATTAAGATTTTGAAATTTTGTTGTGAAGAACATTTCTCTAATTTCTTTTGTTTAGTGATACATCATTATCTGTCATTCTACTGTTTCTATCTTAATATACTTTTTGAAGGCTGATACAATGTCTGTCTGGTCCATGCTGTGTCCTTAGTCTCTAGAATGATTCTTGGCAAATAGTAGGTGCCCTATAAATATTTTTTGAATGAATAATGAATGAAAGACCTGGTAAAAATGATTGTGTCATCTTCCAAAGTTTACATCTATTGAAATCATACAACTAAGTAATCTTCATTTTCTGACTCTCTTAAGTGATGAAATAAATGTGAAAAAGAGAAATTATTAGATAGTTTTTAAACTCTAAAAGAATAACAGTCTGAGAACAGAATGAATGATATTAGCAAAGTTTTCAGAAATTTAATCAGGCAGTTGCATTTTGGTTTTATAGTTTCCTTGTGGATGCTCACAACATAAAAATAACAGCAAGAAGAAGAGAGACTCTCATTTAAACACACTTTTATAGTGCAATCTCGGCCATCCACAGTGAAGCTGACAGAAATGCAAAGCTGGAGAAAAAATATAGAATGCAATCGGTTAAAACATTGTGAATTCTTCACTTAAAGTTATAGCAACTTCCAAGTACTTCCACTGCAAACAAGAAGGCTGAACCTATGGAAATTTACGCCTGAGTGAGCAAGCACTTTGGGAGATACAGCCGAGGAAAGTGGGTTGAGCTAGAGAAGGTCAGAATAAGCAATAAATATAGGCCATAAAATAAATCATCACTGAAAGTAAGGATGTGAGGCTTTATATTCAGCTGTTTGGAATCATACAGAACCCAGTCATGTGCCGCATAATAACGTTTCGGTCAATGATGAATCGCATATCCGACGGTGGTCCCATAAGATTAGAACCATACAGCCTAGGCATGTAGTAGGCTATACCACCCGGGTTTGTGTAAGTACGCTCTATGATGTTCGCACGATGAAGAAATTGCCTAATGGTGCATTTCTCAGAACATATCCCTGTCATTAAGTGATGTGTGACAGTATTAAAAACTATGTCACAATCTATACATCTGTATATGTATGTATGTTTGCATGTATAATCTACTGAGAGAGTTTGAGAAGGAGAGAAAGTGATAAACAAGATGGAAAGTAAAAACTAAAGAGGGCTTTTTTCCTAATAAACCCCTATATACTCTTAGTGTAGTTTTCAAGTTCTTGGAGAAAAGAGAACCCATATAAGAGAGCTTAAGTTTCCTCCGAGTGACCCAACACATTATTTTGCCCTTGTTTAAGCACAGTATACGTTGCTATTTCCAGTTTTACTTCATTGTTTTGATAATTAATCTGATCCCTTACAAATAAATGTAAAACTCTTACAATTCTACAATAGCGCAAAGCCTTGGCATAAACGACGCTGCCAGATGGCAGTTCTGGAGGAAGACCCATTGCTCTGTTTTGGTTAGGGCCTTCACAACGAGGTCTTCTGCTTTAGCTGCCTGGCCGTGACCCAAGGAAATCATGGCCACGTGACGTGTTGTTCCTTTTAGCTCTTGTGCAAATTTCAGGAGAGTATCGGTGAGGTCAATCCCTGTATGACAATGTGGAGAGAGACATACAACTGTAAACTCATTTAATTCCCCCTTAAAAAACACAATCTAGACTTATTGAGTGGTGGTAGGAGAAGGTCTAGACATAGTGGAAAAACTACAGTCTTTGAAATTAGAACCCAGAGTTCAAATTTTGGCTCTGCCACCTCCTTACCAGGTGACCTAGGTTTTCTAACATATGGGGATGATAAGATCTACTTATAGCAGCAACTGCTGGTTATCTACTCCAACATCGACTTGTCCCTTCCTCCTCTGTAGCTGAACCCCAGTGTTGCTCGAGATGGCCATGTACTCAGCTAAAATACTTCATTTTTAGCCTCCCTTGCAGTTAGGTATGGGCATCTAAGTTTAGTGAATAGGCTTAGGCAGCATAGTTTGTTACATTGTTGTGTAATCGTTCCTTTCTTCCATTCCACTGTCTAGAAATGGATGTGATGGCTAGAGTCCTAGCTGCCATCCTGGGCTAAGTCTTCGAGAAATGGACCGCACCTGTTGTGAGTGCGTCAGGCATATAGCCAGCTACTTTACATGGAAAAGTTCTAGATGAGAAAGTCTCCACGTGGAGGCATTTTGAACAAAGTTTCTGCCTAATAGAATCAAAGTTTGAAAATGGTAAATTCTAAAGACGTATTTGATTTGGAGATGACGAAGAACAGAAGATAAATGAAGAAAATATTTTGCTTAGGAGAAAATATTTTGCTTAAAGTCTGTAGAGCAAAGACAAGAAAAAGGAAAAAAACCACTTGGAGTTTGGGAATACAAGGGTTGGATCAGCAGCGCCAATTTTTGCTAGTTTATTTTATAACATATATATTTTTTCATGAGTCAACGTTAATTAAAACAGTTAATAAATGCAAGGGCAAGCCCAACTTTCAGGTCAATAATACACGTTTGAGAGGTGTTTTCTGCACAGAAAAGTAGCATTGACAAACTTTTGCTTATTTGTGAATCTGGGAAATCTTATGCCTCTTCATTTCTTTACATTTTTAGAAAGATTCATTATTAAACATTATTAAACATAGTTTAAACATTTAATCAGTCCCTTTCTCAAAATATTTAAATAAGAGTAGGAAAATATTTTAAACATAGAAATACCTGACACAGAACCCACTTCTCTACATCTTTTGATGACTATCATACTGTCATCTTAACCGGGGACAAGCAGCTTACCGTTGGAGTGAATAAGCATCAGTGGAGTCCTGGCATTGGATTCTTCATATAATTCTTTCAAATTAAGTCCAGTTCTGCAAGTATATTCGTTTCCTAGTTTTTCAGTTATAAAGTTTCTCACTGAATTCTTTAAACATTCTGGTCTAAGAATTTTTATCTAAAAAAGAAAACATGAAAGATAAGGTAACTAAAAACCACTCAAGGGAATATTCCTTATGGTAAAATTAAATAAAACTAAGAAGTATTCATTATTTAGGCTGTCAGAGTTTTATGGTGATCCTTGTGCTGGGAAGGTTTAACGGGAGAGAGCCTGTGTGTGGTGGGGAATGTGCCGCCACTGCCCTTGACCCTAACAAGGCCTTTCCTAGATGCCAGGGCCACCTTGTGCCCCCATGTCTTTCATACTCTGACCGAGATCTCTCTTTGGATGCAAAAATCCAAGTTATGGTCCCGATTCTGCAAAAAGAGACCTTTCCCCTGCATTTCTTCCTGCTGTGCTGTACATCTCTAGAGCAAGAGAACCCTACAGTGTTGGGGGATGAAAATTCAGGATAGCACAACTGGATAAGTACTAACTCCTCCACTAATAAAATGAAAATAAGTAGCACGATATTTGTGTGTTTAAGCAAACTGAGTACATACCTACAAAGAAGTCTAGAGTGACTAAAAGATTCTGAAAAACAGTATTCATGTAGTAAGTAGAAGTTCAGGACCTACTGGAATCATTGCAAAATTCAGAGGAAAGACCTTTCCATGAAAATTGTTTTACACAAATCACTTATGTGCTATTTCTTTAGAGAAGGATTATGAATTCTGTCCTGAGCATTTTCAGCATTAGAGGCTCCATCATTTAAGGCAAAGCCAAACTGTATGTGTTTGTGGATCTGTGCAGATGTACTAGGGTGAACCATGGGAAACCATTTTTGCCAGTCGAGAACTGTCAAATGAATTCAATTTTACTAGCTCTTTTCTATGCAGCTGCAAATAGTTCTGAAATTTTTCTCATGTCCACATCCCCTCATGGTCGTCTTTCCTCCCTTCGTTTCAGTCCAATAGGCTATAGCGATGGAGAGAGGTGAATAAACTAGACACAGTCCTTGCCCTCAAGGACGTTATCCTTCTCCAGGTTGAGCCTTCTTTCTAATATATTCTAAATCTCTTATGTGGCAATTTCAATTTCTGACTTTTATAGGTCAGACCCAGTTTCGAATATTCTAACTCAGTTTCCCTATACGTACACTCCACACTTTATCAGACCACGTCTCCTGATTGGGGCTTTGGAAAATGCAATTGCTATACTCATACAGTTTCTAGTTCATAAACTAAAATCATCTGGAGCTTATTGGAGGAAGGTGATGTAGCATGGGTTTTAAAATCTAGTTAATTTTGTTGTTAAGGTAATACATACTTGCTACATAAAATTCAAACAATACAAAAAGGTATAAACTGAAAAATGAAGATCCTACTTCCTAGATAACCACTGTTTTCTCTTGTGGCTCCTTATAGATACTCTTACACACATACAAGCATCTCTCTATCTACCTCTTTTTTTCCACAAATGGAGTTGTGCTATACAGATTGTTCAGTATTTTGCATTTGTCAGTTACTATAGCTTAAATATATTTTTATGTCATGACTATGTCAATAATCCACACGTACAGTAGAGGTATCAATCTGTCTATAGTTGTTAGGTGGATAACGTAACTTAGAGAAGTGGGTTGGATAGAAGAAAAATAATGATGTAATCCATGCAGAAATAGAAGTATAATGATGTACACATGAAATTTATACAATGTTATAAACCAATGTTACCACAATAAACAAACAAAAAAAAAAAAAAGAAAAACAAATAGGCAAATATGATGCTAAATGGCAACTAACATTCAACTTCAGTGTCAGGACGCAATAGGGATCAGTGAAGACTGTGGTGCCCTGGTCCAAAGGGGCTGACACTACTCAGCATTTTGCTATTGCTATTGAGGATTGTGGGCCCGGTATTGCCTGATCTTCTAATTTTTTTTTTGATAAAATCTGGAAATCTAGATTTTTATGTGAAATCTCTCAATTTGCAAATTTTGGCTCAAAAGAAAAAACCCAAACAAAAGAAAACACAAAAAACAAACTTGTATACCTATGTTCATAGCAGCATTATTCATAATAGCCAAAAGGTGAAAGCAACCCATATGTCCATGGACAGATGAATGGATAAATAAAACGTGGTATATACATACAATGGAATATCATTCAGCCTTAACAAGGAAGGAAATTCTGACACATGGTACAACATGGATGAACTTTGAAGACATTATGCTAAGTGAAATAAGCCAGACACAAAAAGATAATCATTGCATGATTCCACTTATATGAGGTACCTAGAGTAGTCAAATTCATAGAGACAGAAAGTGGAATGGTAGTTGCCAGGGTCTAGTGTGAGGAAGCAATGGGGATTTATTGTTTAATAGGTACAGAGTTTCCATTTGGGATGATGAGAAATTTCTGGAAATGGATAGTGGTGATAGTTGCACAACATTGTGAATGTACTTAATGCCACCGAATTTTTACACTTAAATAGGGTTAAAAGGGATTATTATGAAGACCAAATGAAATAATGTATGCACAGTTTGCCACAATAAAAAAATAGAAATAAACTCACTTTAAGATATATGTACATAGATTTTTTAAAATAGTGTAAGATGTTTTAGTTATTTTATTTGAAGACTTTGGAGTTTGTAAGAAAGATCTCCATAGGTTCAAACTCATTTGTTTAGTGATAAACTGCACTTGAAATGTTGGGAAAAACCCACAAAACTGCAGGCCAAATAAAACATGTCTATAAGCCAGATGCAGTTTTCAAATTTTTTTTGCAATTTCTATCTAGAGTGAACTTTAACAAGTGTTGCAAAAATAAAATTTAAGGCAGAAGTCAAAAGAAGGATTACTGGCTGTCCAGGCTGGTATTTGCAGAAGTTAGAGTGAAGAGGAGAATGAGAAGAGGGATTTTCCCCTCATGAAACTAGAGCGTACATGTGAAAATAAAAAGATTTTTTGAGGTGATAAGGATGAATTTAGGATGATCTACTTTGGAAAGTATGATAGAGTGTTACTGCCAAGAGCACAGATTTTCGAGTCAAGCCGTCTGAGTTTCAGTCCTGGTTCTATCAGGCAATTTCTAAGCCTTGGCTTCCTGTTCTGTAAAATGGGAAAAATAATCATGCCTACTCGTTAAGATTACTATGAGGAGTAAATGAAATGATGTATGTACAATGCTAAGCTTTTGATGTTTTAAGGATCTCATGAATGACACCCATTCGCATCCCTAACCCACCAACCCCCACAGCCAGATTCTGAAGCAATTGAGAAAGAGAGGAGTCAGGCAAAATAGCACCTTTATTAACAATAAGGGCCACGGTGGTTGATTTGGTTTAGGTGTGTGCTTCCTGACACTGAGCCCTAGAATTAGACAGACTTACCCGTCACAAGCAGTGCTGGGCAGCCATTGGCTTCTCCCTACAGAGCCAGGGTCTGCTCTTGTACAGTTTATGGCCTTGAGAAGCAGAGCAGAAAGCACACTTTTTGCAGGCAGGCAGAACCCAAAAGGGACAAGGGAGAGGGGCCGAGCCATGCACTCTGAATTAATCTCTCAAATTTACCCATCTTGCAAGTCCTTCCTCTTCTCCAGGGAGGAGTGAATGAAGGGGCAGAGAGATGCCAGGAATAGTACTCTAATTGGACCCCCTCCACATAGAAGAAACATTAAGATGGAGTGTAAGTGCTCCCCTCTAACATTAATGTTTGCTAAGTGTTACCTTGTAAAATCCATATATTTTGCTTATACACTTTTAAATTTGAAGGGTTTAAGTTACTGAAAAGGGCTCAAAACATTTAGAATATCAATATTTTCTCATAGCACATCTTACCAAAATAAGTCTTTGAAATGGAGTGAGTTTCTCCCAGGGAAAATTGATGGGACTGTCAATTTCTTCACTTTCATTCAAAAGTGCAGCTAGATATAATTTAGAGAAAGAAACTGAGATTAACAATGAAGTACTTTGGATCACTAGAGACACCACAATGAGAATTTTTGTTATAAAATTGTGAAGTTTTTGAGGCATTACAAACTATTCTTAATATTGCAAAAGAGGTGGACACTAAGGTAGATTTAAATTTTATCTTGGCTGTAGTGAAGTGGTCAATAAATAGTGCTCTCACAAGATAGTGGACAGCAGCAGCAAAAACATAAGCAATAGGCATAGCCAATACTTTACAACCTACTCCTGCACATGTGATGTCTGAGGAATATAAACTACTAATTCTAGAGGTTAGAGATTTCTAGTCATAATCTATCTATAACAGATAGGAACTGAGAATCAAATGGAAATGCAACAAGATTCTCAAATTTTTGAAAAACTGAATATTATGCATATATATTTTTTAATACTGACCCCTCTTACTACTGCAATAGCATCCTACTGGGTCATACTCTTTTGTAAGGTGGAAGCCTTCTAGTTTCCATTTCCAGCTCTCTCAGATAACAGCTATCATTTCTACCTACCTTATATTTCTATGGTATTTCCCCAGTGTCTAACTTCAAATACAACTTAGATTGTAGAAACAGCTGTTTTAAATATAGCTAAGATAGGTTTGTTGATCTTAAAAAAAAAGTCCATGATACATGAAAATCTAGTTACAAATTGGGGTTATAAATTTGGGGTTACTTACAAAATAAACCGATCTTCACTTTACCAAAAGGGTCAGTAAAGAGTTTCTTTAAATAAAAGATATGGACTCTTGTCTTACAATATAGTAAATAATGAATCCAACTGTTCCAAAAAATTGAGGAGGCAGGGAAGCTCCCTAACTCATTCTACAAAGC